AAATAGTAGCATATATTTTATAAAATGCCTGTATGTTTACTTTGGTTACCTTATCAAATCATGATGAACTAATTTTGCTTATGAAATTAATCATAACTTGTAAATGTTAAATTGCTGCATTTCATATAGACAGCTGTCAGCCTTTCATCTATCAGCCAGACCGTCATCAGATGAATGTTGAAACCAGTGTCCAGTTGCCATTTTCACCTAAATCATACTTAACAGATATTAACTTTTAATTTTCCCAGGTATTTTTCAAATGTATTTTGAGTTTACCTGACACCTTGTCTAGAAATGCTCTACTGATGGCTCAGCGGGAACACAGCAAGTAAGGAGACCTCAGTGGCTTAGGTTAGGGGACAAAGGCAGGTACATTCTCCAGTAGTGTGTGGGAGCAACATGGTGGGATGTCCATGTTGGGAGCAGAGCGTTAAGGTCAAAACTGGATGTGAATTGTAAGAGCAAAAGTTGAGCTCATCCTTAACCACATAACCTTCTTGGTAACATATATTCACAAAGTGCCCTGTCACCGTCTTGCTTGATGAAGAACCTCTTATTATATACAGTCATTCCAGCCCTTTCTCCAATGCCTTCCCTCAAACGTTTGTCATCTATTCTTGTTTGGAAACTGTCTTCCAACAGTAGAAGGAGTAACAGGGCTTCATCATCTGTTTCAACTCAGTTCCCTGTAAGAGACAATAGCTATACTTCTATTATACAGGTGCTGTTATTAAGCTCGATTTTAACAATCTTGCACTTGTTCACTTATTAATTGCCTACATTTATCCAAAATACACTGAGAAGAGCAGTGTTAGCTTTGCATCCAGTCATTAGAAAGGCAGACAGAAAAGATACATTCAATTACTATTTATTAAAAAATCACATGTATTGGTACCTTTAACAGAATTCAAGGCTTTCAGTAGGCTGTAATTGAATCTTTTTGTATTAAATAAGCCATAGCTATATCTATTGTTCTAGCAGCTGAGAAAAAATGATTCAGAAATTATATTTAAGCTTTTCTGCGTAATTATTAATGTATAATGGCACTTAACATCTCCATTTCTGTTAGAGTCAGCATAACTAAGCTTAGCTAACTCAAAAAATATCACCAGATACTGTGTCTGCAATGAAAAAAATTCAAAATCTGTACACATTGCTTCCATAAAATATGCGAAGACATATGGCGGGTTCTTTGCTTGGCATATACCCACACAGCTCCAAAAGTCAATGGAACAATGCCAATTTATATCGCTGATTTACGCAGCTGAAGGCTCACGTGCTTCTCTCCAGTGTAACAAGGTGCCTGAGCTTTGCCAGCTGACGGTGGCTGGGGAAGCTAAAGTCGGCAGAAGGCCAGCCTGGCATTCCCAGTGCCAACCCCTCCTCTGTTATTTAAGATGGGGGCATGTTGTTAGCAGCGATCTCCAGCTGAATGATCAGCGAAGCGTAAAGTTTACACAATATCTCAGCTGGACCATTCTTTCTGCTTGTCTGCATGGTCCGATTTTTATTCTTTTACTTGATTGACTGTCTGGGGTTTTGTGGTTGGGTACTTTTTTAAGTTTGAGAATGCAATTTTGTATTTCCAGTATATTTTCTGGGATATTTGGGACATTCTTGCACAAACTTTGCACCATTAAACACAAGGAAGTTTGCCACTGAGTATAAATCTAAGACTCTTCTCTCTTGTCCTGAAAAAGTAGCCTGTTTACCTCTGTATACTGCACACGAAAGCATCGTAGTATTTTCATATAAAAGCATAAGATAAAGAGACATTTTTCAAAAACAGGTGAGTTCATTGATTTAAAAATAAGCATGTTTCTGAATTCTAAGAACTGCATATAGTACAGACAGTTACTGCTTAACTCTTGGGTATTTTAAAGATATTTCCTATTTTGTATCTGACTTTTTGTATCTTAACTTTTTACTAGACAGCAAAGTTCTTCAGTGGAAGTATGATTTGCTGCATAAAAAATGATGAGGTAATTCAATGAAATCTTTCCTTGAGATTGATTCCTGCAGATTTTAGTAGAACCTGAGTTTCCAGGCATCCCGAAGTTTACTATAAGGCAGAACAAAATTACCTAGGTATTTCAAGGAACAGTGTTTCAGAATTAGCTATGTGAACGTTCATTACAAGTACCCTTTGGTGGGGTCACATCATTGCCATACATGGCTTCACAACTTCCACTGATGTAACTAATTTCAGAATGACGAAGGCCATTTTCATGACTCAGTGTTGGACACTAGTTAACAAAGAATCAGAGTTATGAGGTCTCCATCTTAGACATTCAAGGCCTTGACCCCCAGACATCACAAACTCTGATCAGTCTGTGGTGTGGAAGCTGGTGGTAGACACAAGTGCTCTGATTGTCACCCTTGTACTGATCTGTAAAGTTCTATGGTTAGTGGCTTTTGTAAGGCGGTTGACACCCAGTATCATCATGCTCTGAACACTGGGAGTTCCCAGGATAGAAATGGTATGCATATTTCCAAGCCACAGCCATCAGAGGTGCCCTACAATTATTATAAATGCAATGTTTTCATTGGATTCCCAAGTTTCATTAATGATCACAGGCACACAGGAAGAGGATGTGGGAAGATGGCTCTGTGGAGTAAAGATATCTTTTCCCACCAGAGGTGTAGGATGGGAACGACACAGAGAGAGGCTTTCCCAAAGAGATCAGAGAATGTGTTGTAAATACAGAAGTATCACTCCCAAATTGTAAGAAATCCTGCTATTGTAAACATCAGCCTTTACAAATATGAGACAGAGAAACTATTGGTAAGACATCATTCCTGAAAGCCAGTTCATGTTGGGCAGAAACTGTTTGCCCAGCTGTGAGGACAAAACTCCAGGGGGGACATGCAGATACCTATAGATCAACTCTCTTTGCTCAGCTTTAGGTACACAATAAAGAACACTTAGCTAAAGAATTTTGATCAGTTGCTACTTACTGGAATCAAGAGAAACTTAAGCTGATACTTCTTACGGAGCACTGAGAAACGAGCATCCCGTTACTGTCTATTCACAATTGCTAAAATCTAAACACCTCGCACTTAAAATGGCTAAAATGAAGCATGAGGAAGACAAAGTAGCAACCCTCAGTTGCCATTTAGGGGTTGTTACCAACCACAAGTCCACAAGCTCCTCCACACTGTCACCCTGATCTATAACGCCAAGTTACCCTCGCTGAGACAGAGGTGTCTGCTGCTGATGGTGAAGGTGTTACAAAGCCTAGTCCATCCGTCTGTTCAGCTGCCTGACTGGACTCCTCAGGCTCACTTGCACATTCCCAAGGGACCTGACTAATGGCCCTGCCCTCCTAGGAGCTGCTTCTGAATTGCTTCTGAATTTGTTTTCTAGTTGCCCATTTCCTTAGCCCTTTTAAACTTTTCCATAGATTAGGTCTACTGATAAAGGAAGGATAATTTCTTGTCCTGTGACCTCCAGAAATATGTTTTCCATTAGCATGGACGGTTTCATACTTGCATCATTGAATTTTTAATGGGCAAGTTAGTAAGTTTTACTGTTTAAAATTCTTTTTAGACCAGGTGCACAGCACTTACTACACCTTTTGGGCAACCTATGGTCCACAGATAGGTTTGGAAACCCTTGTTTGAGAATCAGCTGTTCCTAGAAACAAATGTTCATCTGGCGTTTTTACTATTTCATATGAGAATAACAGAAATTATAAACCAAATAATAACCATTTTCTTAGATTTTATTGTCTCATTGATTTCTCTCAACATTGTGTACTGAATTTCCTTTTCTTATGTAGACCCCTACAGGATAATCATACTGATATATTTACTATTATATATGACATATTCTGAAGGTTGCTGCTGAATAGATCAAACTGTGTAGTGACTTAATCTTTGCACTGTTGCTATAAATTCTATGGAATGATTTACCTATAGATATATTTCCCTATCGATTCAGCTTGCTCAGCTTTCCTTGTGTCAGCTGCAACCAAATATTATTATTTGTACTGGGGTTTATCATCATTCCATCACTATTCTGTAATGCTTGTTATACTGAAATTCTCATCCACTGCAATGTAAAATACGCTCTTTCTAAACAACTCTGTGAAATCGCATAGAGGGTTTAAAGCTTTCTTCTTGATATCTGTTATTGGATTATTCTTGTTCTGACACTTCAGTGATCGTTTTTTCAGACTTCACCCACATTTGTTTCTTGCTGTGCTTATTCAGTTGAAACTGTTGTTATTCTTTATTAGATAACACTAATATCAGGATATTAACACTTAATAACAGATGCTCCTAATCAATATCTGTATGCTTCAGATCAGCCCAAGTTTCCCCATTTTTTTGAGATATACAGTCTCCAGAATTTATGTGCTGGTATTTTGCCTCCATATTGTATGCAATGGAATCGGTACCCTCAGAATAAGATTCTGTCTGTAGCATTTATACTTTTCCTCCTTCCTTAAGTCTGCACCGAAATACATGAGTTTTCTTTGTCTAACAGGACAAGTGCATGGAACTGAAAGTACATCAGAGGAAATCACCTCGGAAGCCTAAAACATAATATTCCCATTTAGTAACCTAAATTTAGCTTCCTGAAATTCTCTTCTACACCTCTCTAAACATTTGTAACAAATCTCTTTAAAAATACTGAGTTTTTAAAACCAAATAAACACACAGAAGATTCTAAGAATGTCTGACAGAAAATTTCAACTGTATATTTTAATAGATGAAAAATACATGTCAGATTTTATTAATATTACATAAACTTTAAAAGGTCCTCATCTTTCCATTAAAACTTCTACTAGTAAACATTCATTATAAATCCCTTTGCTATCAAATATTCACAGTATTCCTAAATAAATCACTAGCAAATACTGCAATATTAATATCTAAAAAAACCTATAAACCACAAAGATCAAACTATCAACAGAAAAACTTAACATAAAAACATTTCAACAGTTTTCAAGCAGAGTGATTCTATTTGAAGACTGGTAAAAGAATCCACTAAGTCATTTCAGATAAGGATGAAGCTGTTTGGGTCGAGCTTTTCTTGACAGCCCAATCCTGATGGGGCCCTTGCATGTTTTAAGAGGCTGTACTCTTATAACTTCATGTGACAGAAAGTATCCTATATTAAAAAAAAAAAGAAATAGAAAGTGAAAGTAACCCAGAATTCCATATGATATACACCAGAGTTACATACTGCCGAGACATGTAAATTAGATGAATATTAATTGCAGCTTCTCCGTCCTTTACTACATCCTATCCCATCTCCATTTTGTTCAGCTGTAGAGCATCTAACATAGTCTTTTGGGTTGAAATTGAAATGCTAACAGCTGGGTCACATGTAGAATCCTTCTCATTAGAAGGATCCTCAACCTAACATTACATAACTTGCCTTACAGACTGGCAAAGGCCTATAGTTTGATACAAATTACCATTCTGGGACAGAGGAGATGCTGAGAGCAGTATGCTTTAATACTTACCACTAGTCTGAGGGGTTTAGATGTACAAATCCAAATTACACAGCCAGGCATCACTCTACTAGCGCTAATAATCATGATGCCTTGTCTTGTGCCACTCATTTTCCAGAAAGTAAGACAGGAGGTTATGGATTTTCTGTTCCACAGTCTATTAGGTTAGGTATACACCATCTAGTAATCTGGAGCATGATTCAGTCATCCTTTAGAAGCTGTTCTGTTTTGCATAAAATAATATACTCACTGGGGAAGAATGGAAGACAGTGACCTTGTAACTTAGACATTAGAACAACGAGTCATCCGGAAGAAGTAATAATCACACATGAAGGTGTCAAATTTCTCAAGATCTTTTCCAGTTCTATTTTCCATTATTCTACAAAATGATGAAGCACTGAGCAATTAGCTAGGATATCAAATAGTGAGCCCATCAGAGCCTTAGGCACTCAGCTGGAATCCTACTAAAGGGAGAAAAAAAATTGTCTTAGCCTTTTGCAAGAATTTAAATGATGGGATGAGAAAAAACCCAAAGCTCCGTTCTTAAGTCAATGATGAGACAGTAGTGCTGCTATATCTTTTATAAGACTCATAAGAGTCAGTTGGAAGAGAAACTGCATGCAGTAAAATTCAGTCAAGTGTTATGGGTTTATATGTAGCCAGTAAATCATGGTAGTTAGTCGTGCTGAATTGTAAAACCGCAGAAGTATAAATCTTCTTTTCCCACCTAGGTATCTCCTTTCCAAAACAGTCACAGTTTCTGAGGCAACAGTCACTTCATGTGACCAAACAGTGGGATGTAAAACAAAGAACTCATTGATACCAGCAAGTATAAGACTTGTACCTCCTAATCTTCTAACTATGGGAGCAATATGCTGGATTAAGCCACAGAGTTTTGGCAGCTAAATTGGCTAAATTAACAGGCTTGGATTCCATCATGGAAACAGAGTGATCATATCCAAGATGCATAAACAACGCAAACCATGTAAGAACACATGTGATGACTCAGAATCCTACTAAAAAATAGAGGGAGACAGCAACACATCAGCAAAACTTCTGACATTAACTTCTATCAGTACAGTAAATATAGTATGCCCCCTGACAAAAATAGATATAGTCCTTGCTTCAGAATAATCTCTAAGGCAGTTCAGTGTAAATGGAAGAGAACTGTCTCTGCCAGCCATAGATTGCAGCACAGAAGCAATGTACCTCCTCACCAACTCCCTATTTCACAGAATCACAGAATCACAGAATGGTTTGGGTTGGAAGGGACCTTAGAGATCATCTAGTTCCAACCCCCCTGCCATGGGCAGGGACACCTTCCACTAGACCAGGTTGCTCAAAGCCCCATCCAACCTGGCCTTGAACACTGCCAGGGATGGGGCATCCACAACCTCCCTGGGCAACCTGTTCCAGTGCCTCAACACCCTCACAGTGAAGACTTGCTATCAACTGAGATTGATAATGAAGGGAACATAACATTTTTTCAGCTTCTTCTACTGGAAGCATATTAGGTGCCTGTTGATTCTGACAAAGCTCTGGAAATAAGGTATAAAATGCCTTAGAAATATGCCATTGCCCTAGAAACTTGCATGATTTCTCAGCAATCACGGGGAAAAAAAGAAGTCACTCATTGCTAAGGCTTTCTTCCAAACATTTCTGGAGAAGCTCAGATGGGAACTTAAAAAAGTCTAGGAAGCAATATAAAGGGAATAGTTACTGCTAATGGCAATGGAGGAAATGTCTGTTTTTCTTTGCCCTTGGACCTGTGGCCCAAAACAACAGGGAAAGAAGAAAGGAAAGATGATCCAGCTTCAGTTACCTTCTGATCTTCTGCAGGAGCTACAGTGTTCCATCTAGCAAGCTTCAACACCATCTGAACAAAACTTCCAAGAAGAAGATGTTAATATCAACCACCTTGTGCTATTATGCACAATACAGCAATGTGAAATTTGAATTTTCCCTAAGCAATAACAACACCTACTACAAATGTCAGAAACTAGAATCCACCTGCCACCAAAAAAAAAACCAAAACAAAACCCAAAACCACCTTATAGAGCAGTGCTAAGCAGTAAAAAAGTAGAACAGAATTCTCTGTAATATTTTGCATTTGGTAGATGAAATATTAGCAAAAGATGATATATCTTCAATAAAAAACAGGTGAAAAGAACACCAGAGGTCATCTGTAAACATTCAAGATTTTTCAGTCTCATTATTTCACAGAATGGCCTGAATGAAGAAAACAACTTTCTGAATTCTGAGAACAGCAAAGTATGCATCAGTTTTAAGAGGTGCGATGGGTAATAAAAATAAAAATATCTGTACATGGTTTGACCTAGCGAAACAGAAGTTACCTGTAGCCTTTTCCTTACAATGTTTTAGTATTTCATTTCAGAATAAACCAATAGCCTTGTTTAACTAAATGTTTCCAAGTGTTGGAAAAAATGCGAAAGCATGCTTTTTGAAATCCTAATAGATCAATTGGCAATATCTTTCTGAATTTCCTTCCACAATGTGTCCAAAACTGCAACTCTTCCAAGAAAGTATATCAAATCATGTTCTCTTTATAGTATATCTTGGCTACACCACAATGAATGGAGGCCCAAAGATGTTTGTTCCAAATGGCTCCAAAACAAGCAAAAAAGGAAACGCCACATTGTTAGAGTTCTTTTCTTCTATCCAAAGAACAAAAAGGCTCATCTGCATGACTTGCTCTGTGACCCAAGCCAAAGATGGGACAGCTTTCTAGCAACCTACAATTAAACAAAATGTGACTGCTACAGAGACAAAGATAAAAAGGGAAGAAACAAATACAAATGTTTGAGATATAAGTTTATCAGCACTGGTATTTGTGGTATAAATAACAAAACAGTATTACTTTTACCTCCCTCTTTCTGTAAATTATAGTTTTGTTCCTTAAGAAGTGTGCAGGATAAAAAAGCTGGGTCCCATGTGTATGGCTTTTTATAAGCTGCATCAAAATGGCCTGAAAACAGAAGCATAAATACAACATTTAAGATTTTAACTAATTTCTATAAACAAATAACTAAGTTTGTTTAATCTAGTTATTAATTTGTGGTTGTTGATGTAAAACATATATGTGCATATTACAGGAAATATTAGTGAAGCTACAAAGTCTCACTCTCAGTGGCTTGTCAAAAGCAACCTATACACCTCATGTAGTTCTCCTTTGCATAGATGCAATGATGCAGTTTTTAATCCTCTCATGATATATCATTTTCTCCGCTTAGATCTTCTTATTCCAGACTTAGGCAGAAAAGTGATCACTTAGTGAGCAATTTATCCAGTATCTGTTAGGCTTTCATTCTCTGGGGCAAGACATTCAGGTGTAACTTGCAGCACGTTATACTGTTACAACTACTGAACAGACTTCCCTCCAGGGCTTTTCTGTGACACTTTCCTAATTGCTTCACAAACACTAATTACCTTCACAAAAACCCTGCAATCTTCACTTCACAAATTTAGAGCCAAGTCCCTGAGAAATTGATTTCGGATGCCAAATTTGAGATGGCTGCATTTTTATCAGATAATTTACCAAATATGACCAAAGCATATCTCGCATTGATTTTATTTGCAGCTGTGAGAACTCAACACTTCTGCAAACTGAATTTCAGGTACGAAATTTGATAAACATGCTGTTTGAAAAGTGCCTGAATAATTTACTCATCACATAGGAGCTATTTGTAAAAGAAGGTACAGCATTCAACTGGTTTTCTTCTTGGTGTCCTTCCTTTACTCATTAAATACTTTTTGATTCTACAGCAAATGGGGTAGGAGTGTTAGAGTTTACAAAGAGGGTTGCCCACCTATTGTTTGAAGCAGACATTCTGTTTCTTTAAGGAAAAATAAAATAATTTTTTAAAAGGCAGCATCTAAACTTTAAAGAAACATAACTATAATACTGCCTAAATTTTGTGAGGGCCTGGCCTGAAAGTCAGAACCGTAAGTGAGATACATATGCTTTCTTTACGGTGGATGGAAAAAGTTAGGTCATCCCAAACAGAATGCAATAGAAGCAATGAACCAGGCAAGAACTGCTTAGGGCAATGCCATGAGAAAAATAAACTGCAGGATATGTTTAGAAACCTACTGCTGCTTTCCAAGCTTAAGGTCCTTAGTGCAGCAAACTTCCTTCACCTATTTGGGATCTATGGCCCAGAATTAACTTCTGAGGATAGATAACTAGAACTCACTTTAGAGAAATATACAAATATCACACATGACAAGTAGGGCCTACCACCCATGAACATACTCATACGTATCTTTATTAATCTATTACATGAACTTGTGTTAAACTGCCTATTTTCCCAAACTAATGTTCTTTAAATAGAAGATATGAATACCCATGTCAGCTGCAAAATCATGTAAATGTTGCAAGACTAGCTATTGTGTTCAGTTAGAGATCTTAAACAAACCAGAGATTTAACAGGTGACTGTCACCACTGATCACCTAACTCCAAAAGAATTTTTTGTGACTATTTTACTCCTCATTAATATGGCCTTCTGAATATTATGCAAAATCCTTTTTGAAAAGATGAAGTTGATTGTCATGACACTACAAAAGCTTTCAGTAGAACACATCCCTGGAAACATTCAAGGTTAGGTTGGACAGGGCTCTGAGCAACGTGGCCTACTTGAAGATGTCCCTGCTCATTGCAGGGGGGTTGGACTAAATGACCTTTAAAGGTCCCTTCCAACACAAACCATTCTATGATTCTATGACATCAGTTGTAAGAAAACAGTTTGTATCCTTTGTGAATATTGCATGATGTTTTAATTGAACCTTTCTCTCTGTAAATGTGCATCTTACTGATTTTTTTACTCTTTTAGGGATTGCAGGGCTTATTATGACAAAATCCAAGACAAAAGAAATAATCTGTAATGGAATTTGCATTAAGGTGGGTTTGAGCAAGCCTGAAACCGACTGACTGAATTCTGAGCTACAACTGCTACAGCACAGTGTGCAGGCAGCGGTAGTAGCGTAGGGGTTTTTGCATTTGGCTACTCATAGGCAAGTACCTTTTGTTCAACAAACCTTGTACAATTCAATGAAAACTCAGTTATTGTTACAGAATTATTTGGGTTGAGAAACACAACTTTAAAGCAAACCAAATATTGCCTGAAATTTCAATTTGCTTATTAACATAATAGCCAATAATTTCATGTGCTTACCTTCTGCAATAGCTAAATGCAGCAATTCTTCACTTGACAGTCTTGAAATACAATATTCCTTAGATACTTTTTGGTCTTCATTTTCATTTGATATCTTTTTGTTTAATGAACTTCCACTACTGTCAGTTATGTTTTGGCCTTCTATAGTACCAGAGATTGGAGAAGAAATACATAGTTTCTTTTGAGGAACACTTGTCACATTTTCATCTAGACCCTCAGAATTATTTAATTCACAATAATTGTTGTGTGAGTTTGTTTCCAAACTAGATAAATTGTTTTCATTTCCCTTGCTAATTTCATGAAACATATGTAGCTCTTCTAGCACTAAATCAAATCTTCTCTTCAGTTCAAATTCATATGTGATTTTATTTTCTAAAGGTAAATACTTATCTTTTACATCTTCAAGACATCCATTGTTCATTACGGTTAAATGCATTTTTAATTCCTCTTCTGCAGCAATGAATGTTTTAGATTCATCTTCTGAATATGACATAATCAAGTCATTCATTACAGTCTCACATTGACTTTCATTAGTTACATGCATTTGTTCATCATATATCTCTTCCTGTTCTTTTACATATTCAAGATTATGTTTCAAAGTTGCTGGCTCTAAATTGGCTGCCTTGTTTGTCTGTGTATGCCCTTGTAAAGAAAACTGTACTGTTTCTTTAGCCTGTAATTGCAAGTATGTATCTGGCATGGCAGGACTTCCTGTGGATGGGTATTGTATAGTGGCATGAATTTTTTCACTTTGTTTTTGTTTGTCTGCACTTGAGGAACTCCTGCAGTGTCCATCTTCACTTACTACTTTGTCTTTATTGACAAAAGAGCTGCTACCTAATGGCAAAGTGATAGACTGATAAACATTTGAGGAACTAGGAAATAAATTTTCAAAATTTAAATAAGGATTTTGGTCTTCTACTTTTTCTTTTTGATTTGCTAAATGTGGGCTGTATGTATCTATTTTTTTGCAAAATTCAGGTTTGTTTGTTTGGCTATCTTGTAACAAGAGAGAAATACATTTTTCCATAGTTGTTTTTGACTGCTCAGGTAGAATTAAGGCATCATTTGATTTAGCAGGCAAATTAGGAACCTCTTTTGAACTGGTGACTGCATTTTCTTCAGACAACTTTTTTTTGACAGAATTGTCTTGGATTACAACTGGGATCTGGTCAAAGTCTTCAGAATCAGTAGTAAGGGGAATTTTTTCATATGTGTCAAAAATAGAAAAATATTTTTTAGAAAGAAAATTATGAGAATTTGTTTGCAACTCTTTTGACCTCACACATTCTCTTCTATCAGCATCTATACAACTAGAAGTACCCAAATATTTTTTCATGGTATATGTGACTTCATTTGTAACTTCATTTGTAGATGTTATGCAATTTCTACATCCAGTTGTTTCATGTTTCTCATTTTCACATAAAACAAAAGGGAAAGCTTTAAATCTTTCTCCATGAAAAGAACTATTAAACATTTTACTTGGTTTCTTCTTCTGCTGCTTTACTGTAGTTACCAATATTTCCTGATTTGTACATTTACTATTTACCTTTTCAAATTTCGGTTGTGAATGGGCAGGAAAGTAACTCCAAAATCTAAGATTTGCTCCTATCAGATACTGTATTTTTGTGATATTGCAGCAATACATTTTGTCTAGTGAAGGACAATCAAAAGTGCCCTGTAGCAAGATTAGGCATTTAGCAACTAAAATTTGCTTTTTCATACCGTTTTTGTGACTGATTGACCTCAAATAGGTGCTAAACCCTTCACTCCCTCTGGATAAGAGGTGGTGCTTTCTGACATATCTTCCCTTATATAATTCACTTTTTTGGTTACAAAGGAAGGCTCCTCTTTTTGGGAAAGTAAACTCTTCTTCACCTAAAGATCTAGAAAAATGTCTTCTCTGGCATTCATTATGTAATTCAAAACCAATGCTCTCCAAAAATTTAGAACTTACAAAGCCTGGATAAGTTTCATTTTTTTTATGAAACTCTGTGTTTTGCCTCAAAGTACTATCTGTGTATGAGTTTAACTGATCTTGCTTTCTGCCATGTAAAGGGTGTTTCTCCACTGGCATAGACTTTCCTCCAGTTGGCAATAAAGTATCTGTGCTATTGAAAAAGGAAGCAAGAATTGTCTTTATTAGTTTCACCTTCAGATGCTTTGAAATAATAGCCAGTAAACAAATGCATATTTTATTTTTGTGGTTCCTATTTGTATTGCTCTTTACTAACTCTTGAGCATCACACTGTTCGTTTAATGTTTCACAGAAATGAAACCGATGTGTAACACTGTTATCCTGACATGTGGGCATATCTCTATATAAAGATTCAGTCCATGTCCTGAGCCACCCAAACAACATGTTTTGAAATGAAAACTTTAATTTGAACATTTTCTTTCCCCTAAATATATTGCAACTCACTTTCTTATCTGGAAAATTCTGCACAATAATGGGAGGACAATTACTTTCAAATATAATGTTTTTAGTTAAATATCTTTTGAAATCAAGTATTTCTTTTGCAGAGAGTTTTGATTCTGCTTCATACAAACTAATATCACTGCTAGAATTATGCACACCACAGTGTATGTCTAACTTATTTTTCTCTAATGTTTCTGTTATTACTGGAATACTTGTCTGTATATGAAATGTTCCTGCTTTCTCATTACTGCTCTTCCTCCCCATTCTCTTCAAAAGATCATTACAGCTGACACATTTCTCATTCTGAATGTTTTTAGCACTAATGTAAATGTGAATCGTTGACTTCTGGTCATCATCACCATCTGAATTCTCCAGCACTTTATCTTTGAAACAATTTTCAGCAAATATTTGATTACATTCAATGTCAGTGCTGTTGTCTCTGAAATAAGTTACAGATACTTTTCCTCCTTCTGCCAAAGCACTGTGCTCTTCTTTGCTAATAGATGGGTAATTCTTTTCTTTAAATTCAGTACCAACAGTTGAAGCTTTTACACTGCTTTTATCATTTTGCAATTTTTGTTTCTCTACCTCAGACATTTTTTGCACACCATGTAACTGTTTAGATTGCATCAAAGATGTCTGGCCTTTAAAATTCTTCCAATCCATCTCCTCCAAGTTAGTTGATGTCATTTTACTATTTATTTTATTTGAAATGCTAGGAAGTTGAAAATTAGGGATTTTCAGCTGTTGTATACTTTTAAAAGGTTTTAATGTTGGAATTATAGATGATGAATTATTTTTTTCTTTATTGTCTCTTTCTGCAGTAGTTTCATTATTGCTACTGAAATTATCTTCTGTAGAACATACTTTTTTCATAAAATTATCTTTCTCATGTTCTATGTGTGAAAACACAGAACTGGTACCACGTAAAAATGGAATTTGCAAAAGCTGGTATTGTTTCCATTTTTTATCAGAGATAGACTTATGACTTAAATATTCCATCTGAAACGAGTCTCTTTTTAAGGGTGTAACTGAAGAATTTTGTCTGAGTTCATTATCAACACTTCTTTTATCATTTTGTTCTATATTGTTGTTCTGCTGCACTTGGGGTGGATTTAATACCTGTAGATTTTTACATATGTTAGCAGCACTCCACACATTGAGCAACTCTGCTTCAAGAAGCTGTCCATGTGCATTTAATGAAATGTCATCTTCTTTAGTATTTTGGCTTTCATTTTCAGGATTCCATTTTTTGGTGGACAGTTTATTTTCTGATACTCTACATGGTAATTTTTCATTACTACAACTCTGAAAATGGAAAAACTCTCTCGAAGTTTTTCTTGCTGCATCACAACTTTGCGTTTCTAATGCCCAGTTGTTTTGTCTTTCTGATAAATGTATAGGTTCATGTGGTGATGTTTGGTACCTGTTCACACGGTGTACGCTTTGTTCTAGCTTTTGCTGCTCCCACTCCTCTTTCTCTATGCTTTTTTGATTACTTTCTATTTTAATTCGCTTTGGATATAGGTAGCGTTCAGTTTCATCTGACGATGCAGATAAAAATCTTTCAGAACATGTACTTTCCATGCTTACAAAAATACGTTCTATACTTGCTGAGTCAGTCCTGAAAGTTAAAGAAATATTAAAGTATTAGGCATAAAAGATCTTTCAATGATTTCCAAAATGTACAGGACACAAAATCAGTAATTCTATCATCTACACATTACCACAGTGATATTTGTTCTGCATGCATTACAGGCCAGAGATAAAGACAGGATCACTGAACAACATTTAAAACCAAGATCTAGGATTTAAGATAGAAGTTATTTACTAAAGTTGCAGATGTATGCAAAATTAAAATGGGTGATAATTTCACTGTGTCAACAAGGTAAAGAAATTAATTACATTTTTCATGCATTTGCCACACTGTATTTTTGCCAAAAATGAATACTGAGAACAAATATCAAGAAAATAATGCCCACTGACGAACTCTTCTGATTTGAGGGACCCTTTAAAATTGTTAAAAGCTGAAAGAAATTGCCAGTCTTGTCTTCATTGTGTGATAATTTGTAATGTGGAACTGTAGGCAAGTTTATCAAAAGTCCTCAGGTATGACAAAATGCTGTATCACAGTGTATCTTCATATAAAAAGAAACAGTGGTGTGGCTGGCACAAATCTAGACTGTTAAATGTACTGGCGCTCCTGATTTCTAAGTACACGTCTCTTCAAGTTAAATGCACTGAGCATCTTCCTTTAAGAAGTGATCTACCTAGAGTGTGGAACATAATTTGAGAAAAATAAATTTCATATACTGATTGAGGGAATTTATAATACTTGTAACAGACTGGTTCACCAGTATTTCTGAACAATCCAGTCACCCTGCAGAGTTGACCTCAGAGAGCGAACAGGAAGGCATTCAAAACATATCATGAAGTGCATAATTAACAGAGTTATTTTTTTAACCAGGACTGCACGATTCAAGAATCAAGTAGCAATCCTAATTCGACAGGTTTACTTCTTTAACGGCGCAGGAAAATCCATTTTGTCAAGGAACACTTCTGCGACTGCGGGATATACCTGTGAAATGCAGGCAGCGAATGAATCCTCAAGCTTGTGGCTTTCCTGCCTCCCTCCACAAGGCCGCTGTCTCCCCTCCTCCAGGAGGCTTTCCTCCTGCTGAAGGTGACAGGACCCCTCCGTCCTGTCCCTGAGGTGGTTTCCCTCTCCCGTAGACTGCCACTCTCCTCTTTGAATTGAGTTTTACCGTCCCTCCCTCCTGGTTTGTATAACCTCTTGTAAGCTTTTTTTTTTTTAAAGTCTCCCACGGGGATCGCTTTTCCCCTCCCTGCAGCAGGGTCGCTTCTCTCTCAGAGCCCCGATCCCGCCCTGAGGTACTCCCTTCCCCTCGGTGCACTCGCTCCTCGGCGACGAGGGGACCCCCCTCCAGCCAACCTGCCCGCCCCGCCTCAGCCGCCCCTTGCGGGGAGGGCTGCCTCCTCCTCCCAGGGCTCTGACTTCCCAGCACCCCGGCCGCCCTCTGAGCCCGGGGCACAGCTCCGTTCCAGCTGGACGCCTGGCGAAGCGGAGCACGACCCCAGCGGCGACCGGACGGGGCGACCGCGGCGACCGCGGCGACCGCCTGACCCGGCGCTGCAGGCGGCCGAAGGCGGGAAGAGCCCCCGACGGCGGGAAGAATCCCTCCGCCCCTCGCCGGCCGTTCGCAGGCACTCCGCTGGTGAGGGGACGCAGTGCCGGCGTGTCCCTCCGCCCGGAGGGAAAGGGGCCGGTGGGTTCTCCTCGCCCGCGGGCAGCAAAGGAGAAAGGCCAGTGGGGATGTATGGCCCAAAGGCTGCAGGTTGGCTCGCAAGGCTGCCAAGACGCTGTAGAAACTGCAGTTTGGCTGAAAAGGCCTTTCTTTGGTGCCTGAGCAACGAGGGTCACCCACTGGAGCCGAGCAACCTCCCGCCGCTTATTTCTACAGGCGGGACGTACTTTCCCAAATCGCCTAATTCCGAAAGCAGGAGATCCTGCATGTGCAAACGCTCATGTCCCTGGCCCTTTTCCACAGTCCTTCTCTGATCTCTGATCTCTGAACACACAGCAGAAAAGACATTACTTCCCTTACCTTTTTTTTTCACAGTAGCAAGTCTTGATTCAGCCAAGGACTTTATTCCAAAAATAACAAGTATTCATACAGCTTCACGCTTTTGAAATAGGTGTTTCCTCTTCAACCGCTGAAATTTCATTTCCAAAAGGTTATTTTTTAAAGTTTGCGCTAAACCAGCAGGTTGCTTTAATACTGTTAAGGATGGGCAATAAAAATAGAAACATCCTTAGGGCCTGTTGCTGCAAATATTTTTTTTTAAGGCTTATCATCCATACTACAGTGAAGAAATCCACCGAAGCCCAACAGATCCATTGTTCCTGGTAGCAAACGTTACACGCGAGAATTGTATAGAACCAAGCTTTAAAATAGCTTTCTCTTCAATATCTCTGCTTTTGTAAATATAGCTGGCTAATAACTGCTTTCTAATACTTAAAAAATATTATTCATTGAATTAATCTTTAGTTAACAAGGTACAGTTCCTGCCTGTTTTTAAGCAACAAATAGTCGGACTGAAATCAATTAGATTACTTTCACATTTTAAAATATTTAAAATACCATATGGAATGGTGATCATAATATAAACTAGAAATAGGATTTTAAGGCATGTAAGAGAGATTCACCACAGCACTTATGTTTGCTACTCCTCTGCATTGGAATAGCATCTAGGAAGCATTCCTGGAAGACAAATTATTGTATTTTTCTGAAGTGGAAATGCTGTAGTATTCACAACTGTTTCTAACATCTTCTGAATAGAATATTCCCCCACTTGCCTGTGAGTGTGAAATCCCTTAGTATGCATGGTAGGCTGCAAGTAAATAGGAGTGAGTTTAAAATTACTCAAGTCTTTGAACAGTGAAAACATCCAGAATTACATGAAAAATAAAGAAAACTGCCTTTTGTGCACCTACACAGCTATAAATTAAGATTGTTTATTAAACCCCATCCAGTTGTTCCACATCTATGGCTTACTTTGCTGTATATAACTTAGATACCTAGCATAAGCTGACAGACTTCCACTGAAGCATAACCTGCATGCTCTGCACTTTTCAATTTACAACTCATAAAAAAAATTATTCATACTACTTGTTTACTGATAGTACAAATTGAATAGAGCATATTTTTACTAATGGACTGGAAAAAAGACATAATTGCTTTCCCTGCTACTCAGTTCAATAATATTTTAATAAGATGTAAACACCACATTTTTGTTGTACAGTTTCAATAATTTCAAACTTTCTGTCAATTGGTTACATCTCCATCACATTTATCAGGTATATAACTATTATTATACTGTGTTTGCAAGTTGACAAAGTGGGTGGTAGAGCAGCTCCTTGACGAAGTCAGCAAAGAAGCTTTGGGTTCTCATGCAGCAACAAATTCTCAGAAATATTCCTTCACTTCAAAACATTATTTAAAACTCTTACAAAAGGTGTTGTAGTTCTCATTCTCTTTTTTCTTTTTCTTTCTTTTTGTTGAAAACTAGAAAAGAAAAACATTGTAAAATATTAAAAAAGAAAGCTCAGGAATAAATATTCAGAAATTAAGTTAAATATCAACAAAGCACAAAAAATAACTATGCTACTCTATGTGATCAGTAGGACACTAAAATTTGACAATCTTGGTTTGTCCAGTGAAACAGTGCAATTTGGCTCAAGTCCTTTATCTCAGCTTAGCTGTGCTAGCTTAATGATGGCAGCCTTGACCTTACAATGCATTGTAAGTAAACTGCCTTTTTAGGATGTGAAATTTCAAGACTGAAGGACTGTTGTAATCCATCATATTTCTATCATGAACTATAATGCTAAAAATTTTCACTCTGAAAGTAGCTCACCTTGTAACACTGATTCATTAAAGGCCATAATTAAGATTCCAAAGGAAACTTACTGGTTGACTAGGAAAAAGTTCATTTTGATACTTCTCTTATGAACAGGACATTGGTCATTAACATTCTTAAAACCGCATTTTACAAATTACCTTTTTTCGTCATCCTACTGTTATGTCACACAATCACTTTATCATTAAAAGTATCCATAAAAAAAGTTGGTGTGTGAAAATACTTTCTATACTTTCTATCACAACTGCTGTATCTGCAGCCCTCACACACTTCCTATCTATCCATGTAATTTTGAAATCGCTTGAATAAAAACTTCAGTCCTTCCCTCTTTTCCAGAGTAATCCATATTGCTCCTAACAACTAATGCGAACCATTAGGCTTGCTAAATGTTTAATAAAGATAGAACTTCAACTTCACCCAATGTACCTGAAATCATAAAGAAGCTAATGTCTCTCTGTATGCTTTGCATGTATTAATTCCGTATTCTCAGCAGAGTGTCCATACCAACAAAGAAAAAGCATCACGTAGGAGGTACACTATGCTGCTATCAGCTTCCATCTATATGCAAGCAACAGTCTTGGAGTGATTCAGCGATATATTAGTCCTTCAAAGCCAGACCTGGAATAAAACTGTCCTGAAAATCACAGGCTTCCTAAAAAGTTATTTAGCAAAAGTTTTCTAATTGCTCAGTAGCATTTCTTGAGATGCTATTATTTTTATATTTCCTCCCATTTTTGTACTCCATTTTTCATTTTCCTTTTTGTTTCTGCCAATATAAATGGTGACAACTCTTTCATGACCAACACACAGTAGCCCTCATAAAAGAAGGAAGCTGTTCCAAAAAACAATTATTTTTTTTCTCTTGTAGCCTCATCCAGAGCTAAATTGAAAGAAAAATACTGCTGTAAAACAAGGGGAACAATGTGTGTGAATATCCACTGGGGGACATCCAGAAGGCATTGTACGTAACGCTAAGAGTAATAGGGAAGTGCAAGACAAAGCCCCTCTCTAACTCTTGGGAAAGGGAGAGCATCTCACACGCATCATCTTCTCCCTGCACTGCTCTGTCACTGCTGCCTGACTGCCACAACAATGACTTGAATTCTTTGAGGATGGTTTGATGCTCTGATTTCCACCAGTAATAA